TCCTCCCTCCCCCCCTCTCCCCTCGGAGTCGTTCCCCCCCCCCCCCCCCCCCCACCCCCCCCCCCCCCCCCCCCCCCCCCCCGGCCAGCCGGGCCCCCCAGCTTGTGGGAGCCGGGAGAGGGGGGGGGCCCTGAGCCCGTTCTCCTGTTCTCGCCGCCATCCCCAGACGATGGTGAATGATGAACGTGCCACACCATGAAGCTCTTGTGGCAGGTAACTGTGCACCACCTCCGCCGCCACCGCCGCCACCGCACCTGGCCAGGGGTCCTGGCCGCCTCCCTGACCCTCCACGCGTGGATCCTCGCCCTGGCCGCCGCCTCCCCGGGCCCCCAGAGCTGCCCCTCCGTGTGCTCCTGCAGTAACCAGTTCAGCAAGGTGGTCTGCACCCGCCGCGGCCTGGCCGAGGTGCCCCCCGGCATCCCCTCCAACACCCGCTATCTCAACCTCATGGAGAACAACATCCAGATGATCCAGGCGGACACGTTCCGCCACCTGCACCACCTGGAGGTCCTGCAGCTGGGCAGGAACGCCATCCGGCAGATCGAGGTGGGGGCCTTCAACGGCCTGGCCAGCCTCAACACCCTGGAGCTCTTCGACAACTGGCTCACCGTCATCCCCAGCGGGGCCTTCGAGTACCTGTCCAAGCTGCGGGAGCTGTGGCTGCGCAACAACCCCATCGAGAGCATCCCCTCGTACGCCTTCAACCGCGTGCCCTCCCTCATGCGCCTCGACCTGGGCGAGCTCAAGAAGCTGGAGTACATCTCCGAGGGGGCTTTCGAGGGCCTGTACAACCTCAAGTACCTCAACCTGGGGATGTGCAACATTAAGGACATGCCCAACCTGACGCCCTTGGTGGGCCTGGAGGAGCTGGAGATGTCGGGCAATAACTTCCCCGAGATCAAACCGGGCTCCTTCCACGGGCTCAAATCCCTCAAAAAGCTCTGGATTATGAACTCGCAGATCAACCTGATCGAGCGCAACGCCTTCGACGACCTGACGGCGCTGGTGGAGCTCAACCTGGCCCACAACAACCTGTCCTCCCTGCCCCACGACCTCTTCGCCCCGCTGCGGTACCTGGTGGAGCTCCACCTGCACCACAACCCCTGGGACTGCGACTGCGACATCCTCTGGCTGTCGTGGTGGCTGCGGGAGTACATCCCCACCAACTCCACCTGCTGCGGGCGCTGCCATGCCCCGCTGCACATGCGGGGCAGGTTCCTGGTGGAGGTGGACCAGACCTCCTTCCAGTGCTCGGCGCCCTTCATCATGGACGCCCCCACGGACCTCAACATCTCGGAGGGGCGCGTGGCCGAGCTCAAGTGCCGCACGCCCTCCATGTCGTCGGTGCGGTGGCTGCTGCCCAACGGGACGGTGCTGAGCCACGCGTCCAGCCACCCGCGCATCTCCGTGCTCAACGACGGCACCCTCAACTTCTCCCACGTCCTGCTGACGGACACCGGGGTCTACACCTGCATGG